TCCAGAGCCACAGGTTGCTGATCCCTGCACTAGATCAAACTGGCTATGAAGCATCAATAGTTATCTTGCTGAAACCTAAAATATATTGAAGTAACCTCTGTAAAACAAAACCAATAAAAATCCCCGTGGAACTGTGTTATACAGGTCAACTTACAACCACAATTAACCCCAAAATTTATGTTGCTAAGTGAGAAATTTGTTTATTTATTTATTTTATTTATTATTCGAATTTCTATACCACCCTTCTCCTTTCGGACTCAGGGCGGTGAACAGCCAAAATAAAAAACATTTATACATAAGTACGATTAAAAATAGATTTAAAATAATTAAATTTGGCCCATAGTTTAAAATTTATCAATTTAAAATCCATATCAAAATTTAAAACCAACCATAAAATCATAAAATCAAGAGAGACCGGCTAACTGAAAGAGATGAGTTTTTAGGGCCCGACGAAAAGTCCGGAGGTCGGAGATCACTCGTATCTCTGGGGGTAGATTGTTCCAGAGGGTAGGTGCCACCACAGAGAAGGCTCTCCTCCTGGGGGTCGCCAGCCGGCATTGTCTAGCCGACGGCACCCTGAGGAGGCCCTCTCTGTGGGAGCGAACTGGCCGGTGGGAGGCTATTGGTGGCAGAAGGCGGTCCTGTAAGTACCCTGGCCCTAAGCCATGGAGCCATGTTAAGGGAGTTTTGCCCCATTTTACGATTTTTCTTGCCATATGTGTTAAGTGAATCACTGCGGTTGTTATAAATTAGTAACACGGTTGTTAAGTGAATCTGGCTTCCCCACTGACTTTTTTGCTTGTCAGAAGGTTTGTTTGTTTGTTTGTTTGTTTGTTTGTTTGTTTGTTTATTTATTTATTTATTTATTTATTTATTTATTTATTTATTTATTTGTCCAATTTATATGCTGCCCTTCTCCGTAGACTCTGGGCGGGTTACAATGCATTATAGCATTAGCCTGCATACTTTTATGTATATACCGGCTTATTAGGGCTTTCGGCTCCCCCCAAGCGGTGTTGTTCTATACAAAGCTGGCTTATTGCCCCCATAATCTGGGTCCTCAATTTACCTACCTCGAAAGGATGGAAGGCCGAGTCAACCTTGAGCCTGGTGAGATTTGAACTCGCACTAATTGCAGGCAGCTGGCGGGTAAGTGCTAGCACTTAACAGCACTTAGTCCGCTGCACCACCGAGGCTCAAAAGGTTGCAAAAGGGGATCACGTGACCCTAGGATACCGCAACCGTCATAAATGTGAGTCAGTGGTCAAGGATCCGAATATAAATCACATGAGTATGGGGATACTGCAGCGGTCATAAGTATGAAAAATGGTCATAAGTCATTTTTTTCAGTGCCGTTGTAACTTTGAATGTCACTAAGCGAAATTTGTAAAGTCGAGGACTATCTGTACTGTTTGGGTATATAAAATAAATTGGAGCAAATGGGACACGTTTAAATCACACGTTTAAATTTGCAGATGGAGCAAGTAGTTGCCTAAAAATATCCCCAGACGTGAAAAGATTGACCTATTAGTCTATTACGGAATCCACACAATATAATACATCATTAGCTTTTTAATTATTATGAGGTATGCAAACATATCATGGTAATAAACACGACACACTGCTTAAACAATGAATTAATAATGGCTGCGTTCCCAAATACACTTGCTAGGCGAGATACAGCTAATCCTCGACTTACGATCACTGTTGAGCCCAACATTTCCGTTGCTAAGCGAGACATTTGTTAAGTGACTATTTCCCCCTTTTATGAGCTTTCTTGCCACAGTTGTTAAGTGAATCACTGCAGTTGTTAAGTTAGTAACACGGTTGTTAAGTGAGTAACAGTAACCTTGTTGCTGGTGTCCTTATGATTTATATTGACTGTTTCCTAATATGATTTGATTGATTATCCGTTCCCTATGACTATCATTAAGTGTTGTACCTTATGATTCTTGACGAATGTATCTTTTCTTTTATGTACACTCAGAGCATATGCACCGAAGACAAATTCCTTGTGTGTCCAATCACACTTGGCCAATAAAGATATTCTATTCTATTCTATTCTATTCTATTCTATTCTATTCTATTCTACTCTACTCTACTCTACTCTACTCTACTCTACTCCTCTACTCTACTCTACTCTACTCTACTCTATGTGAATCTGGCTTCCCCATTGCTTGGGATGCTAAGTCAGTTGTCAAGGATCGGAATATAAATCACGTGACTATGGGGATACTGCAGTGGTCCTAAGTGTAAAAAATGGTCATAAGTCACTTTTTTCAGTGCCATTGTAACTTCGAATGGTCACTAAGCAAAATGTTGTAAGTTGAGGACTGTCTATATTCTGTTACACTCAATAGGGCCCACTACTAAGGAAACATGCATAAAATTGGGTTGCTAATGAATATTAACTAGTCAAACCAAATCAAGTCCTAGTCCCTTTTATTAGATTCCACATAAATGTAAAACCACATTTTATATCTACTATATATCTATATACCAGGAGTAAAATCCAGCAGGTTCTGACAGGTTCTGGAGAACCGGTAGCGGAAATTTTGAGCAGTTCGGAGAACCGGTAGCAGAAATTCTGAGTAGTTCGGAGAACTACTGGCCACAGAGTGGGGTGGGAATGGAGATTTTGCAATATCCTTCCCCCAGGAGTTGGGAGGGAATGGGGATTTTGCAGTATCCTTCCCCAGGAGTGGGGAGGGAATGGGGATTTTGCAGTATTCTTCCTCTGCCACGCCCATAGAACCAGTAGTAAAAAATGTGGATTTCACCACTGCTATATACTATTAAAACTCTCATGTCTGTTTGATTGTTTGCAACCTTCAACTGGGCAAAATTGGAATATACAGTAACGCAAATGGACTAACAGATTGCCAAGGGAGTATGAATCCTTCGGGAGTAAAATTTGGGAAAAATCGTTGCTTCTTCACAGCCACTGCACAACTGCTACTCAGTATCCCCCACCCCATCTAATTGCTACAATCAGCTGCAGACATATGACTGTCATTGTCAACGTTCCCTGACAGCTTCCCACAAGTTGATGGAGAGGCCAAAAACCGATCTCTTTGTTCAATTCTGTTCCCACTAGCAAAGCAGGGGTGAAAAGCTATCAGTTCGGACCAGTTCGACCGAACCGGTAATGATGGCAGCGGGTGGTTCGGAGAACCGGTAGCAATGGCAGCGCGAGGCTCTGCCTGGTTATCGTTACTTCCTGGCTTTAACCAGGAAGTAACCTGTTTTTTACCCTCTGCGCATGCACAAAAGTGTCTGCGCATGCGCAAAGGGTCCACACACACATGTAACGCGTGCAATTCTGAACCAGTAGGGAAGGTAAGTAGATTTCACCCCTGTAGCAAAGCCTTTGCTTCTGTTGTGACTCCAACCCCCGAGGCTGACTTATTGGAGGGAGAAGGCTCTGAACATGAAGGAGAGGAGTTGGCCAGGCCTCCCTCTCCAGGACCCTCCTCTCTGGCAATGCCTCAGGTGTCTCCCAAAGGAGAAGAGATTGGCCAGGAGCCAGGTATCTCCTCGCAGTTGGACAGTGATGGAGATAAGTCTTGGCTGGATCCACGCCAGCGTCGGAGAGACAGGCGCACGCAGCAGAAAAGAAGGCATGCCAGAGATTAAGCTGAGTCACTGGACCACACCCCACAGGGGATAAAAGGGGGTGAGGTGGCCATTCAGACTCTGTGATGGACAAAACAAACTACTAGCGAGTCACATTGTATCTTTGAAACAACGTTATCTGCCTTGGATTTAATATGGACTGGACTTGACAATTCTTGAACTGTGTGTATCTTGTTTGGGTTTATCTGTCGGAGGAACAACCCCTCCCTCTGAGTAAAGTTCTTGGCAAGCTGGGTTGCTGCCAATCCTCTTATCGAAAGAATTTGTTGTCTGCCAGTTTTATTTAACCCCTGGCTATCTGTTTGTGTGCGTGTGTGAGACGGGAACAGAACAGCTTCTGGAAAGCTGGAACTTGGAAAAAAGGTCACAATTTGTTTGGATAAGTCTTCCTCAACCACACACTCTCTGCCAGTCCTACAGAGTCTGACCACTCATGCACTCCCTTGCTCTTTCCACCACATAGCAGCAGTCACTTACCTGACTGCTGGAAATGACATGGAATGGAATGGAATGGAATGGAGGGAGGGAGGGAGGGAGGAAAAAGGAGGGAGGGAGGGAGGGAGGGAGGAGGAAGGGAGAGATGAAGGAAGGAAAGAAAGAAGAAGGAAGGAAAAAGAAGGGAGGGAGGGAGGGAGGAAAAAGGAAGGAAGGAAGGATGGAAGGAAGGAAGGAAGGAAGGAAAGAAGGAAGGAAGGAAGGGGGAGGAAGAGATTGTAATATAATGTGTTGATGACTTAGGTGGATGATGGGAAAAGATGCTGCCTAGAAAACAATCAGACGAGAGGCAGGAATGCCTAGTGACTTAATGGTCAAAGAAAGAAATTAAGACAGCTGTAATTGATTGAGCTGTTCAAAGTGGGGACCAAAAGTTTGTACTTCAGACTTGCAATACTCCGTTAATGTATTCTTATAACAAAGTAAAATAAAATAACATTTTCTAGTCATGTTTCCTCTCTGGTTTATCTGAGAAGGAAGAAAAGAGAGACAGAAGAGGAACCAAGTTGATGGGGAAGCCAGCAGGAAGTTGCCCCTGCTTCCAATGCTATTTTGCCTGCCTGTGGTTAATACTTCTTTTCTCTGTTCAAGTAAAGAAGCCACGACCCAGTGGTTCGCGAGTTGTCTAGTGAAATAATTATACATTATCTGGCCATACAATAAATAAGATCATTCTGACATTCATGAAATGTAGGCAAAATGCAGCAGTGGTTAACCCTAAATATTAAACGTTAAATCCAGAATATTATGTGCGGGTGTCTCTGCTGTCTCTGCCACTTAAATGCAGGCAGAGAGAGAGAGAGTATAGAATGAAACACGGAGCCTCCTGTATAAAAACAACAACCACAACATAGAAAGAGCCTTCTTACCTTCTGTATGTACTGCAGACACATACGTCCAGTTGTACCTCTTGACGATGTCCACCATAGCACGGGCCTGTTGTGCGTCCGAAGGCACCACTCGCATGAAATACTTGAATAATGTCTTGTCACTTAAGTCCATGCTTGTGGCAGAGTAGGCAATCTGAGGTATGTTGAAAAGCTGCAACAGATTTTGGACCTGGATTGCCACGGAACTGGATCCGGGACCTATCACACCAACGATGGGCTTCTTCGAGCGGTACAGAGACGTAGAGCCGTCTACACACTTCATCAGCCCTTCCTCTTCTTCCGCCGAGATGAGAGAATCGCGGATGAATTCAATGCTCTGCTCAAGGGCGACCGCCGAATGCCAGCACGAGTCCCGTATTTCACAACCCAAGGTGATGTTGGGTAACAGAATTTGATTCTGGTTAATGCGATCGAGGGTATGGAGCATGGCTTCCACTCTCTGGATCCCATATTGTTCTCTGACCTCTCCACATTTCCTCTCGTGGACCTTGTCGACAGACGGCTGATGATGGACCGAGAAGAGAGCCCCAATGATAATATCTCCAGGCATATAGGCCACCACTCGTCTTTCATTGGACTGAGCAGAAACCAAAGCACTGAAGTTCCCACAAACATTTTCCTTCAAGAACCAGATAAGAAGCAGAAAGAGCATTTTAGGGAGCTGTTTAAGCCAGAATTGGAAGCATGATGAGATGGCAAAGGGTAACCATTCTTTCTTTCTTTCTTTCTTTTTTTTTAAAGCAATCAGCGAGTCTTTGGAGAAATCGAAGCAATCAAGCTGAGGAGCGACTCAGGTGTCTCCAAGCATCTTCTAGACTATGGCCAACATCTTTTCATCTGCTCAGAAGATAGGATCTTCAAAATCTTTAAGAAAAAGATGATGGGAAAGGTTTTTTTTAAAAAATAAATAAATAAATGAGCACTTATAAGCTTGAAACACCTCAACAGCTATTCTAGAGAGAGCACCAGCTTGTTTTGATGCTTACTAGAATATCAAGGCAATAGCAATAGCACTTACACTTATATATTCTTTTGCAGTGCTTTTACAGCACTCCCGGGATGATTTACAATGTCAGCATAACTCCCTCAACAATTTGGGTCCTCATTTTACCAACCTTGGAAGGATGGAAGGCTGAGTCAACCTCGAGTCCCATCAGGATCAAACTACTAGGCCAGTGATGGCTAATATTTTTGCCATTGCGTGCCAAAAGCAGGGGGAGAGGGGGGGCGCGTGCGTGTGTGCCCACATCCATAATTCTATGCACCCCGCCCCCCCACACATGCGTGTGTGACCCCTCCGCACTCCTCCTGCTTTTGGCACGAGATGGCCTGGTGGGCCCAGTAGGCCCGTTTTTCGCCCTCCCCAGGCTCCAGAGGCTTTCCTGGAGCCTGGGGAGGGCAAAAACATCCTTCCCCACCAGTTGGAGGCCCTCCAGAGGCCGGAAATGGCCTGTTTGCCAACTTCCGGTGAGCCCAGGAGGCCCGAAAACCAGCTGGCTGGCGCACACATGAGTGCCAGAGCTGAGCTTGCATGCCCACTGATATGGCTCTGCGTGCCACCTGTGGCACGCGTGCCATAGATTCGCCATCACGGTACTAGGCTGTGGGCAGAGTTAGCCTGCAATGATGTATTCTAACCCTTGCGCCACCCGGCCTCTTACAAGGCAAGATTGCAAACATCATACGTTCAAAATAAAACAAACAAGTTAGCTCCAAACCTACGATTGGTTGATTTTCAGGCCTGGAAATGAACTGAATTCACAATCGTTTTGCACAAAAATCTATTCCTGATTCCCTCAAGTCTGACTTATTTTGGCAGCCTTATTTACCGAATTTCATTTAGTTCGCAGTTTCTATAACCCACCACAACCAGTGGTGAAATTCTAATTTTTTTACTACCAGTTCTGTGGGCGTGGCTTGGTGGGCATGGTGTGGCTTGGTGGGTGTGGCTTGGTGGGCATGGCAGGGGAAGGCTACTGTAAACTCTCCATTCCCACCCCGTTCCAAGGGAAGGATACTGCAAAATCCCCATTCCCACCCCACTCTGGGACCAGCCAGAGGTGGTATTTGCCGGTTCTCCGAACTACTCAAAATTTCCGCTACCGGTTCTCCAGAACCTGTCAGAACCTGCTGGATTTCACCCCTGACCACAACCCACAGATTCTGAACAGTGTGTAACTGAGGTCCATCTCTGTTGCAACACCTGCCCTATGGAAAGCCACCTCCTTGAATTGGGTCCTGATCAATGGTGGGATTCAGTCAGTTCGCACCACTTCGGGAGAACCGGTTGTTAACTTTCTGAGCAGGTTGTTGGAAGAAATCATTAGGGCAGAGAATCAGTTGTTAAATTACTTGACTCTCACTACTGGTCCTGATACTCTTGACCTCTTGACTCATTTGGAAAATCGTTAATACATGGGTTTAAAAAAAACAAAAAAAAAACATAGATGTTATAGTCAGAATATTAGGTAGCCCAATATACATGCGGTTCCTTTTGTGAAATTGTTAAATAACTCGTTTTTTCTTCTTTCAATTGTTTTAATTTTGGTAATGGGTAATGGGGGCTTCTATTGTTTTTGTTGCAAGATTTGGGTATGGCTAGTCTAGAGAAAAAATGTACTAGGGGGGACATGATAGCAGCATTCCAGTATTTGAGGGGCTGCCACAAAGAGGAGGGGTCAATTTATTCTTCAAAGCACAAGAAGGCAGGGCAATAAACAACGGATGGAAACTAATCAAGGAGAGAAGCAACCTGGAATTAAGAAGAAACTCCCAATAGGTAAAGGTAAAGATTCCCCTAGCAGATATGTGCTAGTTGTTCCCGACTCTAGGGGGCAGTGCTCATCTCCGTTTCAAAGCTGAAGAGCCAGCACTGTCCGAAGACATCGCCGTGGTCATGTGGCCGGCATGACTAAATGCCAAAGGTGCACGGAACTCTGTTACCTTCCCACCAAAGGTGGTCCCTATTTTTCTACTTGCATTTTTTACGGGCTTTCGAACTGCTAGGTTGGCAGAAGCTGGGACAAGTCACGGGAGCTCACTCCATTATGCGGCGCTAGGGATTTGAACCGTTGAACTGCCGACCTTTTGGTCGACAAGCTCAGCATCCTAGGCACTGAGCCACCATGTCCCCAAACTCCCAAATGTGAAGACAATTAACCAGTGGAACAGAAGTTGCCTTCAGAAGTTGTGGGTGCTTTATCACTGGAGGCTTTTAAAAAGAGACTGGGCAGCCATTTCTCTGAAATGGTATAGGCCTCTCTTGCTTGAGCAGGGGGTTGGACTGGAAGACCTCCAAGGGCCCTTCCAGCTCTATTCTGATTGCTATTTGTGCAAAGGGGCTGTCAGGTTTCGATGTCGTCTCAAATAAATTGCATTTCCAAACAGATAATCTTTGATGAAATCTTTCATTTATTAAGCACGACAATCTGTCCCCGATTATGTCGAAGCCAACACTGACTTCCTGACCCCAAACCTTCCCTTTCCGTTCCCCAGTTCTCTGTGTCTCATTGACCATCTTCCAAATCACTCTCCCCATATCTACTACTTCAGCTCCCAGGAATGTCCCCCCCTCCCATCTCATCTTCTAGGGGATATTATCTTCAGGGAAAATAAGTAGGTGAAAAGTCAAGTGTCCTCTTGCCAGCTGCCCCCTCTTCTCCTCCTTATGTCAGCACTGGAACGAATGTAGTTTGGAGTGCTGACAGGGGCATTATTTCTACTTCCTTGTTTTGGCCTCTCTGACAATACATGCCTATAACAAAGAGTACCTGAAAAAGCTCAGGTATTACTGTTCATGCAATGCTGTGATTATGGACTTGCAAGGAAGTGCCTACTGTAAGAGTCTTTGGTGGGTGGTTGAGCTTTGGATGGCTTTGTTGTTAAATTTGAGCTCTGCAACAAAGCTCTGTCATTTGGGTGAGCCAAGCTCAGTTTAATTACAGCACAATCTGTTTTCTTCTGTTGCAGCTCTTAACTGCTTATTGTATCCCTCCAAAGGCAATTCAATATCCTTTACAAATGCCGATGCATTTAAAGTACCTTCCTTAAATTAATAGGCTTCGGTTGAATCTTATACCTGAATAGAATTTTCCCTTCCTGTACATTTTTCAAAAGGTGCCTTCCTATTCTTCTAGTTATTATTCCCCCCCCCCAACTGAAAATAGCATTGCCATCCTTATTTGGGAAAGCAGTGGTCTTACAGGTAGTCCTCTACTTACAACGGTTTGTTTAGTGACCGTTCAAAGTTACAACGGCACTGAAAAAAGTGACTTATGACCATTTTTATACATTTTGGATATTGCACGAGTCAAAAAGAGGGCTGTGAAAATATTTACAGACCCCTCGCATCCTGGTCATAAACTGTTTCAACTCCTACCCTCAAAACGACGCTATAGAGCACTGCAGACCAGAAAACTAGACACAAGAACAGTTTTTTCCCGAATGCCATCACTCTGCTAAACAACTAATTCCCTCAACACGGTCAAATTATTCACTAAGGCTGCACTACTATTAATCTTCTCATCGTTCCTATCACCCATCTCCTTCCACTTATGACTGTAGGACTGTAACCTTGTTGCTGGTATCCTTACGATTTATATTGACTGTTTCCCTATCATTAAGTGTTGTACCTTATGATTCTTGACGAATGTATCTTTTCTTTTATGTACACTGATGTACACGTATGCCCCAAGACAAATTCCTTGGGTGTCCAATCACACTTGGCCAATAAAGAATTCTATTCTATTCTATTCTATTCTATTCTATTCTATTCTATTCTATCTATTCTATTCTATTTACCCTACCCTACCCTACCCTACCCTACCCTGTATTTTTCTGCATTCTATTCTATTCTATTCTATTCTATTCTATTCTATTCTATTCTATTCGATTCTATTCTATTCTATTCTACTCTACCCTACCCTACCCTACCCTACCTACCCTACCCTATCCTGTTTTTTTCTGCATTCTATTATTCTATTCTTTCTATTCTATTCTATTCTATTCTATTCTATTCTATTCTATTCTATTCTATTCTATTCTATTCTATTCTACTCTACTCTACTCTACTCTACTCTACTCTACTCTACTCTACTCTACTCTACCCTGTATTTTTCTGCATTCTATTCTATTCTAATTCTATTCTATTCTATTCTATTCTATTCTATTCTATTCTATTCTATTCTTTTTCACACTTATGACCATTGTAGCATCCCCATGATTATGTGATTTACATTGGAATGCTTGACAACTGGTTCATATTTATGACAGTTTCTGTCCTCCAAGGTTATAAGACTCCCTTTTGAAACTTTCTGACAAGCAGAGTCAAACCAGATTCACTTAACAACCGTGTTACTAACTGAACCACTGCAATGATTGGCCTAACAAATGTGGCAAGGAAAATTGTAAAATGGGGCAAAACTCACTTAACCAATTTCTCACTTAGCAACATATATTTTGGGCTCAATTGCGGCCATAAATTGAGGACTACCTATATTTTAAATCACTAAGGATGGTCAGGGGGGCTGATCCCAACAAGGGAACCATTGTTAATGGATTTGGACCATCTGCAAAATACAAGCAAAGCTGAAGGCATTTACAGATTAATATAAAACTAGAGCGCAAAATGATAGGAAAGGAGAAACGATTTAAGCTTTGGGAGATTAAAAAAGAATAATATAATAAATTTACGAGAAGTAATTAAACGAAAGTTTTGGACTGCAGTTCAAATTATTTGAAATTATTGGCCCCAGTAGCTGGGTCTTTAAGAATTTTAAATTCAATATTCCTGCCAATTATCTTTCAACACTGTCAGATGTTTCCCAGTAGTATGAATTCAGCCATCTCTTTTATCAGAAAGCGCT